GGGGAAGGGAGAGCCGGGAGCTGCCCTGCAGCACAGCGCCGGCCTTGGCACCACCGTTAGCATTATCTGGGAGGTGGCCTTGGGAAACGGGACCTTTAAAGGTGAGCTTTGCTCGGAGGAGGCAGTTGGCTTAGCTCGGCGCTGGCGAGTGTTGAGAGATCCACGGGGAGAGCAGGGAGCTGCGCCCGGCTGGAGGATCCATCAGATCCCATCAGCAGCCTCCGGAGAGGGCTGGTGGTGAGTGGGCGGGGGCGAGGTTGAGAGAATTGGATCAGGAGGACTTGGGAGTACAAAGGAGCCCCTCACAGACCTGATGAGTTAGACGGTGATCGGCAAAATAATAACAAGTACAACCAGTGTGTGTGTGTGCGTGCGTGTGTGTGAACAAAAAATAGCATATTGTAAAGGAAGTCAAAGGGCTAAAAGGACTTCTCTAAAGCATGAGATAAAACCCCATAAAAGATAAAGAAATCATCAGCAAAGAGAGTACGACTCCCCACCTTCTTTTTGGAGTGGAAATCAGTCAGCAGGAGCTTTTAATTAATTTTAATGGAGGAAATCTGTTTTAAGGCTTACAGTAAGCTAATAAATCCAAGGCACAAATCCGTGTAAATTCCTGTACTGTGTGTGGAAGGTACTGATTACATTACTTCAGATGCTGCTTTTTGCAATGCAGAGCTCAGCTAAATAGATGGGAGAGGTTTCTTGCATGAGGAGCGGGAAAAGATACTAAAGCAAGTCAGACCTCTCTCGCACACACAGATGTACACACACGCACACACAGAAAGACAGGGTGTGTGTTAAAGAGAGGTTTATTTACTGCATCTAATTTCATAGTATTTGCAGGGAAATTAAGACAGTTTAGAGACTGAGATTGGTTGCTACTGGGGTTTAAAAAACTCAACCAACCACACAAAACCCCCCCACAAACTTCCATGCACTTAATGCCTTGCTTCATTCACTGACCTGGTCTTACTCCAATAGCACCTCTATTTATTTGTAGTTTCAGAGGAAATTCATTAATTAGTTTTAGATATATATATTTTTGGAAAGAGAAAAATCCATCCTGGCATATTTTCAAAACACTTAAAAAGGAGTGTACCTATACCTCTATCCACTTTTTTTTTTTTTTTCTCCTTTCTTCTCTTTCTTCCTTTAAAGAGTCAATGTATGAAATGTTATCACTGAGACATGATCTTTCCATAAGCAGAAAGATACAACAGATGTTATTTGAAAGTCACCATTTCTAAGTGACAAAAGTAACGTTAAAATGTTAGTTTCGATCTTATTCCTAAAAACGATGGAAGAAAACAGATTCCAAACATCATTACTATTTGTAGGAGCTTGCTATTTAAACTGTTGTTCACAATAGTAGCAAGGCTGTTAAAAGTAAGAGAATGCAGGCCTGGAGTACTGTAGGTGAAGCAAGTCAGAGCACTGTGTAAATACAGTGTCTGTAAAACTACCTGAGACTAGAACAGTCAGCAGTATTTTCCAAACTCCAAGGCTGTAGCAAGAAGTGGTGCTGGAATGCACTCAGTGTTCTTAAAAGAGTTGCTCCTCACATACACCCTATATTTTGTATAAGGTGATGTTATCTGTGTTTGGCTTTGAGAGTCTGGATCTAATTTGGGCCACTGCTACAAGTCACATTTATATCCTGGCCTGCTGGATAGTTTGATTTAGGATGTAGACATACCTCCTTTGCGCAACCCTACACCCTCCCAGTTGGAATCTGCATTACATAGGCTACGGTTTCCTTCGAGAATCAAGAATGTGCTTGCCTTTAACTGCTTAAAATAGCAGTATCTAAAATGTAGGATGTTATTAGGGCTGACTTCTCTACCCTTCCCGCAGAAAGGGAGAGACAGTTTTACAGCAAGAAAACAAAAAGGAGTTCAGACAAGCATCACTTTCAGGCTCTTCCTGTACTGAACTTTCTATTTAAAGGACTAGAAAGAAGGCACACTTAAGATAATATTGTTTCCAGGAAGGTGAGAGCTTTATTTCTTTATCATTTCTGCAACCTCTTTAATCTCAAAATGAGTTCATTTTTCACTAGATTACTTTCATGTAACTTTCAGGCTTTTACCATACGGATTCAAATCTAGTCCATTAGTGACCTCTATCTGTGAGAAGTGTATAGTCAATGGTGTTTTTTTCCCCTTTTTCTTCATCATAGTTGATTGGAAACACAGGCTATAAATTGTTTTGATCCTTTATAGCTGCAAATCACCTAGATTTTTAGGTTGTCAATGTCATATCGATCACAGACAACGTGATTTCGTAGTGTTTTAAACAGGAAAATAAGAAAACCAGACTCCAGTTCCAAACACGAATCCAGCATTTGAAGAGAACTCTGACTCTGCTCCATCTATTTCAGTGATAATATGATGAACATTTGCAAAAATCAGAAAAATAAAAAAGTATGCACTGGTATTGAACATCAATAATAAAGGAATTACATTTGTGTTCAACTGATGGTTTAATACTTACTCTAAAGCAGGCTGACTCTATGTGAAAGTTTATTGCCCTTGAGTGCTTACATAATAACTGAAACTTGAGACAAACACTCAGACCAGAGATACTATAGGTAGACTTTATAGTAGCAGGCTGTTTAAAAAATGTACAAAAAAAAAAAAAAAAATCCAGCTGTGTCTATATTAGGAATATGTGTCAGAGATCAAGGAAAAGGGGGTCTTTATAAACAGATGGTCTCTTTTAGAGGATTATTAAACCCAGCTTCCCAATACTAATTTGTCTCTTGTTTATATCCACAGCTATATTCTATGTTTTAGTTAGTGATTGTAAATGGCAGTTGAGGACTTGATCAGCAATATCTTTGAGTAGGTGAATACCATTGTTTGACATTTCCCAGATTGTAGTTGATTACCTCAGCATTTTTAGGTGTTTCCTTCCCTCCCCCTTGGGCAGTCTTTTTAGGAGTCTTTCTGCCAATGCTTTTTATTTATTTCCTCAAGAAACCAAAAGAGCTGAAATTTTCCTCAGAGGTATAAAAATTGCTTTTTCTTTTCTTTTGGTAAAACAAATATTTGGGTTTTGGTTTTTTTTGTGTTTTTTTTTTTTTAAAAAAAAACAGAAAACAGTTGAAAAGAATTATATGTAGTTATTACTGTAAAGAAGGCTAATTTAACATATACTGAAGATGTGATCTTTAGTACCCCTACAGCTATGTGTAACCTGCACCTTTCAAGTAATTGACTTCTTTTAAAGAAAAACAACCACAAAAAATCATCATTAAAATATATTTCTTGACAGGCATGTTTTATTCATTTATTTAAAACAAACCCATACCTTAATCCACGGGTAGTTGTCAGGAAAGAAGAGTTTGAAATAAAAACTATTCTCTGTTTAACAAATTATATTCTAGAAACATCAAACAATGTCTCAGGAATAGTGCAATTAAATTTGATATTTTCAGCCACTGGTGAAAGATGTCGGGATCTTCTCCTATCTTCCTTTTTTTTAAAATTGTGGATTTACCCTGCTAACAGGGTTTTTTTTTTTTCCCCCTCTTTGATTCCTTCATCTGACATGGCCCTTTGAACTGAATCAAAATTAAACACTAACAACAACTTAAAACAAATCCATCATGCTCTATTCATCATTCCTGAAAACTCAGTGATGCATGAAGAGGTCCGTAAAATATCCCTTCTAAAAAGAAATCTTGTGCTATCAGCTCTACATAGAAACAATCTCATGTATATTTTAATCTAAGCTATGATTGCTTTATTTATTAATCTATTGTAAAAGAAACGTTTTCTAGGCTAGTTTAATGTAAGGATTTATAAAAGCATACAACACAGAAAATTTTTGATCGTTCAAAGGTACACTGTAATTGAAACTAATTATTCAGTCCTTGCAGACAAAACTCAATGGGCTTTTGACTTACAGGATCAGATCATTGCTAGACTTAGTCCTGCAGAGTGCTGATTTTACTTTGGTCCCATCTGAGAGATGACTTGTTTCCAGCAGGCCCGGGTCAGTATTTTGTAGGATTTGCCCCTTATGAAGCAGAATATTAAAAGGTCACAGATAATATTCTGCCTTGGCCTTCAAGTCAATAGGCCACTTTTATAACACTTGATCACCAGCTACCTATTCATAAGGTAAATTATTGTAAGTCTCTGTGACAGTTATGGATTAAAGTCTGCTGTCAAAAATTTTTTAAGAAAAACAATAATTTTGAAAGGGAATTCAAGACAGTCCGTAGATTACTGTAATGGTCTGCAGTCTGGTTTTACAAATCCCAGACCAGATAGGGACATATCTTGAGCCACAGAATACAGAAGAGGACATTTAGTTCCTTTTATCATAATTTGTGTGTGACTATATCGCAGTGAAAATGTTTGCATGAAGGGGCAGAAGTTCTGCTCTTTGGTCAAAGTTCTTTATTGTGGCCAAATTGTCATGGGTAATCTGATTATCTTAAAAATGTAAAATCATATAGACATCAAATCAGTTCGTTCCTGAAAACATGCTAGTATGATTGAATCAATCCAAAACTATTTCACAATCCTTATTCAGACAAAACTGACAAAATTTGTTTAATGTCAGGGATCTTGAGGGAGAATTACAGGCAAAAGGTTTTAGAATTCCACCTCTCTGATTCATTAGCTGTCCACTGCCATGCACTTCTGTGTTCAGCAACGTCTGGAGAGGCTGATGTTAGACATTTCTCTCATAGTAAATACTGTAAACTGTACAGAAATACTACAGGATCCATTAAGAGCAGGAAAGGTCAGAGCTCTGAATGAAAAGCCTCATCAGCACCTTCTGAGAACTGACATCAGTGTGTGGCAGGGGCACTCCCAGTTCCTGCTGCCAGATTTTGTTATTCCTTCATAAAAAGCAACAGGGAAAATAGTACTTCCCAACAGTACTCCCAGTCCTGCACCACGTAGCTGAGCTGTTCCATAAGAATTAGCCCAGAGATGTCATGTGGAAAAGGGTTGCCCATGCAGGCAAATGGCCTGGTGCTCCCTCAGTGTGTCCTAGCACTGCTGGGAGCCTTCAAGTGATACTCATTCACAGTGCTCAATCTTCACACAGGTTGCAGAGGACCAAACAATGGTCAAACTGCAGTCATAGGATCATCAACCACAGGTTTGTAGGTTCAGAGTTACAAATATTTATTTCTATTGAGATTCCCCATGTGCTTTTCCTACAGAGAAAAAGAAATGCAATATTAGAACTGTATTAAAATGGGCATGACA